CACTGGGTTTTTATTCCGTGTTTGCATGGATATAATGATTCAAGAGCCACACAGCAGAATAATAAATATGGAATTATTCATGCCCTTGTTTAAATTCATTGTTAGCTTAGCACAGGTACTTAGTGTTGTATAAAAACCTAAGATAGGGGATTGTAACTGCATTTTGGTCCCACTCCTACACTGTGACCTCACCTCTGTTTGGGTTGGAAGCCACAAGAAACATCTTCTAGGGGACCAAACATCACTTGTTTTTGGGCATGCTGGGACTACCCCTTTCCACAGACCACTGTGCTCTGTCATCAATCCCACTCACCCAAGTAGAAGGCCCCCCTCTAACACCACCCAGCAGAGCCATGATGGGGAGGCAGCAAAGAGAACCCTTTTCCACTCACACAGAGTCCTCTCCTGAGGTGGAGTAAGTAGGGCATGTCCCCCACAGTGAGTTTCAGAGTGAACACTACATTAAGATGAATGGAGCACTCACACCTGTGATTTTAGACTTTCTGCAAACTCTGACAGACATCACTGCATCAGTTACAGTCAAGTCATGCTTTTAAGCTTTTTTTCATGGTCTTGAGGGTCACAAGGTGGTGGCCCTAATTGCCATTTGTGCTTCCATGACGACTACTTGAGTGGATGGGGCAAATTGTTGGAAGGAGGGATGCAGGTGAATAATCAACCTAATTGAAATTGTTGGTGGGCTAGTAGTACACCACAAAATAGCAAGACTGCTCACCTCCCCACAGATCCAAGTTAAGTTTCTGTCTATCTAGAAGATACTTACATGGTCCCCATCACTATAATATCAGAGAACCTCAGTCTTTTATATATAATTAACTTAACAACAAGCCAGATATTCTCCACATTTTACAAATTGGGAAATGAGGCACAAAGAGACTAAGTGACTTTCCCAAGATCACAAGGGAAGTCTGTGGCAAAGCAGAGAACTGAACCAAGACCAACACCCTAGCCACTGAGCTATCCTTTCCTCTGTTGACATGTTGATTAAGATCTGGGAGTGCAGCAACTAGACCCAGGAAACTCAGCTGTTGAACTAATTACTGGTGGCAGGGAAGGGATCTCTCTTTATTTCCTAATAGTGGTAAAAAGGCATTTTTCTTCTGTCTTTTGGGTGCTTCTCATTTTTGTGGGAGGTGAGGATTTTTTTTTTTATGTTAGTTGTAGCAGTTGTGTTTGTACTGTTTCTGCTAGAAGATGGGAGCAGATAGATGAAACTGCAGAGCCAAGGCTCTCTGAGCATGAGCAAAGTGAAAATCCAGCCATCAGCATATGCTTATCAGCATGACATACACTTGTGGAGATACGGTGCATCAGCCAATGTATTAGCTAACATCTCTCCTAGCTCTCTGGTGTTATGGAATGGAGATCCTGTGCTGTTTGCACAGGAAGAAGAGGCTCTCTACACCTTTTTTCCTACCCTTTCAAGCACTAGCACAAGGCAGGATTTATCCCTAAGATTTTAGGAGTGGATCTTTATTTAAAGAATGCTCAGATAACAATCCTACCTTCTTATTAATTGCCTCTTGATTGAATATGCCATACCTTACACTACTTGTAGTAAGTTCCTGATTAACAGAACTCACTTTATTAAATAACATTCTGCATTATCAATTATGGTGATTGGAGGTCACTGTTACAATCTCTTAAGAGCAATAGACAGACTTTTCTTATCCAAAAGCTCCAATTTAAACTATAATTATCTCTATTGCAACACTGCATCTTAAGATGCTGAAAGCATTCCCATAGTTAACTGAAAAGCCCATCAGTAAGAATTTAATTGTACAGATCTCTTATCCTTGATAAAGCTTGGCATTCAAGAACTTTGCTCAGGAGCAACTTTCTTTTTAAATTTTCTAAACAATTTGCTTCACTTTAAAGTTTAATGGTTTCTCTGTGCTGTAACTTGATCGTGTTTAAGTTGTTTTGTTTAAAGAAAAACTTAACGTTAAATTGTTATAACTTTTTATGTTTTATTATTTTTAAAACACAAAGATTTTCAAGATCAGGAAAATTGAGGCATAATGTAATTACTGTGCATACAAGTAGTAGCTACTTTTCATAAGACTTTCTATTATTTGTTTAATTTGAACCTGTAATATGTAGATTGGACGTGAGCCTGGAAGCCAGGTAATCGGCATTCTTTTATCTTCGCTGTCACAGATATTGTGTGTGGCTTCTGGCAAGACACTTATTCTTTATGTGCTGCCGTTTGCTATCTATAAGTTTGAAATAATAATACTTCCAAATTCTTTCACCACAGGGCATAGCGAGGCTGAATTAACATTTTAACCACTTTTTGCTCCTCAGATGAAATGCTAATGCTAATATACAAATGCTAAGTATTAGAATTACATTTTATATATTGCAGTATATACATACTGTATATACTATGTACAGCATTGTTTGTGGTCATTCAGATCATAGGCTATAATGATTCTGAAGAGAGACATGTAAGTGAATAGGAGGGTGCAATGAACAGCACACAAACTATGCTCCAAAAAAGTGTATGGATGTGTATACTGTTGGTAACTGCAAATTACCTACAGAAAAGAAGTTAAACCATTAAGGTTAAACTGGGAGTTGAACACTTAACTCCCTTTGGCTTCTTTGAAAATCCCAGCCTCAATATATGTTAAATAATGTTAAGACTGTAACCTTAACCCAAACAATGGGCCCTATATGTGCCAAAGAGGGCTCAAACTACATTTCAAATGAAGGTTTTGGTACACAGGATAGAAACTGATACGTAACAAAAGACAAAATGGTGCGCAGATTATTCAGTGAAGCTCTTTTTTGTGGTGATACAGAAAATGTCTTACTTGTAAATTTTCCTACAATTTAAAACATAGATGCTTGGGGTGGGTCTGTTACACTGGTTTCTATTTTTAAACACTGATACAAGAGTAGGGGACTAATCTTGCTCCGTTTGGTTAATTTTACCCTTGACTTTAATGGGAGCAGAACTGAGCCCAAGGTTGAGATGGATGGACAAGGTGGGGCTGTCCCACAAAGGGCGTGAGCCTGTGAATACTTTGCAAACAGAATTCCTTTTGGTTCCAGTGGAAGTTTGGAACGTGTGGGACTTGCAGGATCGGATCAAAAAGAGAAAGATTTGAAAGGTCCCTTCCAACCCTGATATTCTATGATTCTATGAAAATTGCTTTGTCAGTGCATAATAGTAACATTAATGCAGATTGTAGGTATTCTGGATAGTAGTTTAAATTATATATAATTATTGCAGCATACATTGGAAGAATTGTTTTCCCATAATCATTTATAAAATTATAATTGATTACAATTACTTCACATATCTAAAAAAGGAATTTGAAAAAAAAGAGAACTATATTTTTCATTGGCATGTAGATTAGCATTCTTCTGGATTAGTTGCAGTTTAATGTTGAAATGTAGGGCCACAATCCAGCAAACACTTGTGCGTTGGAGTAACTTTATGCATGGGAATAGTCCCATTTTGTTACCAGTTGTGTCAGTGAAGATATTCACGCACATACATTTTTACAGGTTTGAGGTCTTAATGTACAGAATTGTCATAATTATATAGGGGTAAAAAGGGGGTTGGGTAAGAGAGAGAGTCTATATATATATATATTTGCCTCTCCAGGCCAGATCCTGTAATCCTGATTCATAGGAAACAAGGAATTGCCATAGTGGAGCAGAACCAATGGTCCCTATAGTCCAGTATCTTACAATGCAGTACCAGCTGCATCACAGGAAGATGGATAAAACCCTGCAGGAGGTAGTTACGGAATAACAGTCCCCAGACATATTTTCCCCTAACACTCGGTAGTTCGATTGGCTTATGCCCTGAGCAAGGCATGAGAATTTGTATCCTTTCCAAAACATTTGTCTATTTTTGTAACCCTTACTATAGCATCTCTGTGTATTCTCCTTATGTACAGAGCTGTCTAGTCCTTTTCTGAAGCTCCTTTGTTCGTTGTCATCTTGAGTACAACAGACTAATTGGGGGACAAAGTATTTCCTTTTATCAGGGTGGGTTGGTTGGTTTTTTGTTTTCCCTGGATGTTTCCTTATTGTATAATGAGACAGGGTGAATCATAGAATCATAGAATCATAGAATATAAGGGTTGGAAGGGACCCCAGAAGGTCATCTAGTCCAACCCCCTGCTCAAAGCAGGACCAATTCCCAGTTAAATCATCCCAGCCAGGGCTTTGTCAAGCCTGTGAACAGAAGTGCCAGTCTAATTTCTCTATACCCTTCTCTTGTCCCTTCTTATTCCTACCCCTTCTTAAAGCAATCACTCTCCGTTTTTCCAACCTCTCTTCCTATGTAAATTTTCCATGTCTCTAATCCTTTCCCCCTTGTCACTGAATCCTCCCCACCCCCATTCCTCCTGCATCTTTCTCTGAGGTGGCTAGAGCAGAAATAGAGGGTGGAGGGAAAGCTCCCAGTGAATTCAAATTCCTCTATGAAAAGGCAAGAGTCGAATCCCTCCGCAGTAATTGCACAAAGCAGATTTCAGCTGCCAAACAGCTCTTCATTACAGTCGTTCTGCAAATGGGGAAGCGCCGTGAGGCTTTGAAGGAGCTGGTTCCATCCCAGCTGCGCCCAGACGCTCCGTATCGACGCGCATGCGTATGCACTGCCAGTTGTCTCGTGTCACTCGTGTTCTGTTTTTCCTCTTTGTGAAGCACTATTTATACAACCGGCTTTCTTCTTCCTTTCAATTAGGTAACCAAGATTTATTTACTTTTCTGTTCTGCCGTCCATACACGTATCTGGAGTTGTAGCTCTTGTCAGGTTTATTTTCTAAGTTATTTGTTTTTCTTTCTGACGAGGCAGCTTTAAATCAAATGTCCGTGTCAAGGAGCCGGCTGTCCTGCTAACGTCATAAAATAACCAGACCTCTCAATATTTGATTGATTTTGCCCTGCGTAACGTGCGGGGGCTGGAGGCTGTTTTAATAAGAGTTTGAAGCTCATCTTGATAGGTGGACATTAACATTAAACAAACAAAAAACAAATGCCTTTGCGCAGCAGGGGGTCATGATAGCCGTCAGAAGAGCGAAAGGTTGGATCCCGCTGCAAAATAACAAAAGTCTCAGATCCAATGTAGCAATCTCTTATCATTAAAATAGAGAACCCCCTCCAGAGCAGAGCTGCTAAAATGCCGGGAGTGGCAAAGAGATGGACACCGAGTTAATTGCCTGTGGCAAGTGTCTTCAGATCTCTGAGACAGGTATAATAAAAGGGAGCAGAACAATCCTTGAATCAGAGTGAACCAGTCTATACAATTGTTTAAACAATCTTGAAGGTACTAATGTATGCTGGGCTCTGTTTTGGTCTGCTGTTGCTTCTTAGCACTTTGGAGTCGATTCAGAGTCAGACGAATGGATTTTCTCTGGGCTGCTGCAGCTGGACAGGGTCTCCTACAAAAGGAGGGAGCATCAGCCAGTGGAAAAAATAATAATAAAATATTGTTAGCAGAGTACCGGGATTTAAGTGCATTTAGAATATCTTAAACAGAAAGGAACTTTGTGACAGCGTTTGGCATAGACTTGGCTGTGTAAACAACTGATGGGTTCCCAGAGTAGGTGCAGATTGTTTTCCAGGAGTGCCATATATGGGAAAGGGAGGGGGGCTTTTGTGTACTGTCAAAATGCAATGAACAAAAATGTAAGTATGTGTGTAGTGGGAGAAGCTGTTAAACATTTAATTTAATTGTGTGTCATTCTAGGTGACGGAGGGACACTCTAGAGGACAGAGGAGATCTCCAAAGACAGCCGATGTCGCAAGAGAGGAGAATAGTGACAGTGGTTCCAAAGAATAAAGGTAAAAGTGATTTCTCTCGTCCACGGTCTCACTCAGAATTTTCGGTATAAAAGAGCTAGCGCGAAAATGAGTTTGCCAGTGTACATGGTGATTTCGTCTAGTGCTAGACAGCTTTAATACTTAGAACAAAACTTTCCCTCCTTTCACCCCATCCAAAAGAAGCACTAACTAAAGGAAAAAAGCTTACAAAGTTATAAATGTTGCATTTGTGCCTGACAACCAGAGCCCTGGTTGGGTGTGTGTCCCCAGCATCAGTGATCGAAATGAGAAATTAACTCCTTCTGCAAAGATAGACACTTCACTGTTCAGTTAATTGACTGCCATGGAAAAAGTTTGCTCCAGAAATAGTTTTTAAAAGTAGCTCCATGGTTTGCAGTCTACAATCTGGTGCATAATCAAAACGAGTTTATAGCATAATTGTAGCATGCAGGGAACTTGTTAAAGAGCGAAATGTTCCTTCATGGAAATATTATCTACTCTCTATTTGAGCTTGTTTTCCATTTTCTTCTTCTGTCTGACATTTAATGTGATGATCCATTGCATAAGGGACGGGTAATATAATATGGAGCAGCAAGACCAACTCTCATTTTCAAATTGGAACATAACCTTAAAACCTGCTCTAAGTGAATAATGGGGAAGGCATTCAGATTCTACATGATGTCACTTATCTGTAACATCTGATCCTTTGAAGGAGGAATTATTGCCAGACTTTGGGGTTTTTCGGATTCCATGTTGCTCTTGTCCAATATATATTACCCTAAACCATATAAATAAAACTGGTGGAATCAGAGAACACAATCTTTCTGCTCAAAAGCCCCAGTGTAGAAAACTCTCCCCCCCCACCCCGCCCTTTCCCTGGGAATTAATGTAGGATTTGAGAGGGGGGGAAATAACAAAACCCGGGCCATGATATTTTGCACACGTTAGCTTTCTTGATCTCCGGTTTGGCAGGCGGGCGAGAAGAATACTCGGTCCTGATATTGATTTCTGAGGGATTGGTCCTGCACTATTAAAGCTTTGTTATTCAATAGGAGTAGGATGGGACACAGAACCTATATTCAGCAAACACGGAGGCTTCAAAGATCCGAAATGCTACAAACCCCGTCCAAATGCAGAATATTCACCTGCTCCTTCAACGCTGTGTTCAAATATTTTCCTTCCTGAACAACAGAATATTCTCTGTACTCACCACACTACAATTAGACTTCAGTAAACAAAATGCTTGAAATACATACACATTGTTATTTCCTCCTTTGTTTTCATGGAGCTTCGTTCTCAGCAGCTGTATACGTAAGACACTGGACCCTAGTGGCTGTGATGGGTCCTGATGCCAGTGATTGATGCGCGCCTTGAGCAAATCATTACCAAGAATGGAATTAGTTCTTTATTACCTATAAACATTCAAACGGGAGCAAGTAATAATAAGATCAGGAAAGGAGGCATTGAGAAAAATAGCATGAAAGTACCATTCAGATACAGTGTGTACTCCAAATACACTTTTAATCTAGCTGTAGTAACGTTTTATTAGTAAATGAGAAGCAACTAGCACCCACGTATTTGGCATTAATGAGCCAGTCAGTGGATGGAAAATATACTGTCTAGCTCTAGCTTATGGACGAGACCCACTGGGTAAAGGGCATTGGTCAGCAATAAAACCTGTTTAGTAAACTGGCTGCTCGTAAAGGAGCGCAAGGATGGAGGATTTGGTTTGTAGAGTAAAATCTTTAGTCCAATAATTGTTATTGAGGGGAAAAATATTTAAAATCAGTAACCTCTCTAGTAGCCGAAAAATAACTCCTGACCAAATTGGGATTCCCCTCCTCACCTCTCCCCAAACGCACTCTTCCCTTTTGAATCAAGACGCATCTGTGCTTTGAAATAGAATTTCACCCTAAGAAAGCTACTATTTTAATAACAACAACCAGATCAATTGAGGCTATTTAAAAAACGCCCTTTAAAAAGTGTCAGGACAGAAATCTAAGCAACGTGTAGCTATTTCAAGCAGAACATCTGTAATGTTCTTATTATCATTGTCAGCTGCAGAGAGTGCATGTTGCATGTTCTCTATGTATATAAATCTCCCCACTGTATTTTCCACTGAATGCATCCGATGAAGTGAGCTGTAGCTCACTAAAGCCTATGCTCAAATAAATGGGTTAGTCTCTAAGGTGCCACAAGTCCTCTTTTTCTTTTTGTGAATACAGACTAACACCGCTGCTACTCTGAAACCAGAGATATTACTCTTCTGTAGTGATCCTGCGGCTTTTGGAACAAGAAAATAATTGCTATTCTATTTGTTTGCAGTCAAACAAAGTGAGCACCGATTAAAAATTTATTCACATCTAATTTCTGCCTGAGAATATTAGACTAATAACAATGTGGGCCAGCTGTTTTTCGCAGGTTCCTGCCACACACACATTCGCCAATTTAAAATTTGAACATTATTTTACATGTATTTTGCATCGTTGAAAGAATTTAGTTCGTGGCCGTTAAAATTAATCGGTCAGTTTTATTCTGTAAAATACTTGGAGACATAACAGTTAATTTTGCAATGTTCCTGGAGACCTAGTACTATTACTACTAATAATAATAATTAATAATTATTCCTATTTTGAAAGCTCTAACTGTTTGGAGGACTTGTGTTTAGAAAATAATTTCGGGCAGTAAATATAAACACCTTCCAGTATTTTCGAGCCAGTAGGTTAAACAAGAGAGCACTGGTCTTGTGGTCAAAACTATGCCATATAGTTGTAAAATGCCACTTTTCTTTCTGATGGCCTACATAGGATTGAAATAGAGTATTGAAGGTCGCTGTTAATATGTTCATCAAGTTAAAAGTTTCCTGCGTGTGTTTGTTAAACTTTTGAAGTGTAAATATTTCTCGGCCGTCGTTCTGCATTACAGAGGCAAATGCAAATACTAACGCTCTTGAGTCTCCGATTCAAACGTGGCCGTGTATTTTACACTTGTTTAAAACCCTTTATTTGAAGTACAGGGGGACGAAAGAGTGTCAACGAAATGGTCTGTAATCAAATACAGGGAAAAACTATCTGCAGCTTTTAAGTGCCCCCCCCGCCCTTTGGGATTATTGCTTTGCTCAAAATGAAAAATGTGACTTTGCTTTGCAAAAATAAATACACACATAAATAACAAATCCCAGTGCACCCCCTTCCTATTTTGCTTTCATTGTTCTCTGCCGAGACATAACAAACAAACGATTACAGGTTGGAAAACACATTTGAAAACAGTAAAGTCACATTACGACAAAGCTCTGGGCAGCATTAATGTGATGTTTGGAAAACAGCTGACAGTTTAGCCTCCCCCCCCCCCCCATTGGTCTTTTTTAAAAAAATAAATAAGGTTCCCCCTCTTAAAAATATAAAATAAAATCCCACCCTGCTTTCCTCTTGCAATCAGTGTGAGCATAAAAAGAGTTGTTTGTTCTTTCCATTTCTACTCTAATCGCAAATCCTCCTCCTAGTGGGAACAAATTATCTGAACAAAGTCCGCGTGAAAAGATCCTATATTTCTTGCGCATTTAACACTCTCAGACAGCCGGACCCAGCGTATTGCTCCGTAGTCCCTACTCTCATCTGGTGCTCAGCACTAAGCAGGATAAAGGACAGTGCACTTCTAATAGGACTTTTTTAGGGCGCGCAAGGGCTTCACCTTATTGGGCCCCTTATAGTAAGCTAAGAATGAAATCCTGCCGTCTTTACTTGGTCCTTACTCACTCAAAGTTCCTAGTTGTCCCAGTGAAAGCTTTGCTTTAGTAAAGATCACAGGCTCTGGTCCTTTGTATGGAAAAAGCCCAATATATAACATGTTTCTGCCTCAGAACCCCAGATGTGCCCTTCCTGCTTTTTGTATGGGATTGCTGGGAAACTGTAATAATCAAAACTGCATCTTGAAGACCTCAGTATTTGGGGTCCTTTTTTTATCACGAGGGTCTCCCCCCGATCTGGTAGTGGAGATTTAACTCCTGATTGTCCCGATTCGGAGACCCTAGCTTGTCCTTCTCTTCTCCCCCTGTCTGTGAAGGCAGCCCCTGGGGCGGAGAGGGAGGCACTTGTAAGGTTATCTGGTGTCTGGCACCCTGATATCTGGCTATGCTTGCCTGCGATTCCTCTTATCTAAATTCCTAACCTGGAGACTTCAAACAACCCACCCGAATGCAAGAAAAATACAGGTTTATTTTGTATATTCTCATTTCAAATAAACTGATAAATACTCGAGACATCGCCAGATTCCCCCGTTCATTTACACAAGGAAAACAAAGAGGAGATGTAATTGGCTCTGATAACTGCACCAGAAGTGACGCTAGAATGCACTGGATGCTTTCGCGGCTTGTTTCTGTTACAAGATACACGTGCCCTTTTTGGCTGTCCTGTAGGACAACAGGATCGCAAAGGGGCAGCTTGCAAAAAGCTGCGCGGCAAATAACCTGGTGGTAGTAGCCCAGGTTAACTCCAACCCCCACCGTGCCGAAGCGGTTTGCCCTGCTGTCTCTCCATCCTGCGGCGGGAACCCAGACGGTGATTTATGTGCTGGTGACACAGGCGAAATGACCATAAACCTGATGTTGTTTTACAATAGTTAGACCTGCAAAGGATCTAAGCAGGCTCTTAGATCACATGGAGGACTTGGTTTTTTTCTTTAATCCAATCTGCATTTGTACCTTCACAAATCAAATAAACTGTGAAATCTACATCGCTGGTGCCTAAATTATTTTCCCGAGGCGTGCAAGTTATTTCATGTTTTACACTGAATCTGCAGAGCAAAATAATGGTAAAACACAAGGGAGTTTAGGGGAGAGTTTTCAAAAAGTTATCATCCATATCACCTGTGAGGGACAATAATTGCAATATAATTTACCCTATCTACAGCCACTTAAATGGTACTAGTTGAGGCCTTACATTTGTTCTGCGATAAAGACGGAATAAATTGGCTTTACATGTGAAATTTATCTACCGAATAATCTTCGGGGATAAAATATCTTTTACTACTCAACTATGCTGTTCGGATTCTTTTGTGGCTTACATCTGAGATCAAACAGCAGCTCCTAGGGCTCTCCCCTAATCGCAGTGAAAAGATAAATGTGTGCTGTCTGCTTGGAAAAGGAAGATGGTTCCAGTAATTCATTATTACTAAATTTCACTTTCACTGAGAAGGAAACCAACAGATTTGCATCTCAGACCAATTTTGACCGATGCCTACCGATGAGATCGGTAAATCTCAATTTAGCTTGTCTGACTCTCCTCAATGACTGAAATGCCCTTTCACCATCCCTAGCATTGCACACAAGTCGCATTCGTTTTTATTTTTATTTTTGCTGTTTTGCAATTTTCTCCTAATTTGACTGAACAGTTTCAGTCCAAAGGTTCTATGCCCCAAGGGGTGACAAGATCTCTCTCTCTCTCTTCCTCTTCCTATATTAGTGCCTTTCAGATGAAGAAGGGTGGCTCTTTTCTCATGCAGTGTCTTGTATAGAAAGAGTGCGTTCTCTTTCTATGAGCGGTGACAGCCTGCATGGCATACCTTGGGCAACCGAATAGTCCACCTGATCCAGTTCTTGGGTGTCTTTTCGCAACTAGATTGCTTTTAATTATTTTCAGGGCAGATCCTCAGCCGGGGTAAACTGCCATGGCACCCTTTACTTCAATGGACGCTTTAGGTCAGTTGAAGATCTGCTGAGACTTGAGTTGCTGCTACTGCACTTGTCAAGGACAAGAACCCAGGAAAGGATTCCATCATGCCCTGACTCTCTCCGCGGGGAGAAAAGTGTACAGATCCCGCCGATTTGCATGGGAAATGGGTTTTTTTTGCCGGAGTAGGGAGTGAACAGGCGGAGCCGGAGAGGAGGCGGCAAGGGAGCTCACTTCGCTTAAGAAGAATGATTCCCCTGCACAGGAGAAGCAGCGATAGGGAGGTGCAATTGCAAATTGTGATTTCATCTGAACTGGGGATCAGGACGACCGTCGTGCACGTGTAACTACATGGATGCGCTGCCGATGGGAAGCGTACTAGAAATCCTTCATTGTTAATGCATTTATTCCAGTTTACATGGCTTAAAAAGTGCCCCAGCTCTCACCACCTAGGAAGATCATAAGACCTCCAAAAGAGTGAAATATAAAGCGAGAAGTCGCGCACCCTCCCCCCTTCAATTAGGGGTTCCCCCTTCTTTATTCTCCGGGAAATGCCCTGCCGAAGTTTAGAGTTTGAGCAAGGACAGGATGATTAATTTTTCCTGGGTCACCCTTTAAATCTCCAAAGGTTGCTTTGCTTAACTCTTTACTTATGGCAACTTCTCATGTCTCTGATGCTACAGCAGATAACTGGCACAGACCCTCTCCTCTTAAAGGTATAGTATTGTTTGATAGGGAGGCAAAATTCACACCATTTCAGCAATATTCTGTGTGTCTTCATAGAATAATAGGGTTAGACAAGACTGCAAGGGTCATCAAGTCTAACCCCCCTGCCAAGATGCTGGATTTGTTCTGTCTAAACCCTACAGAGGAATATGATCCACAATATTGTAACTCTCCTTTTGATTCTCTTTGGGAGTTCAGATATCTACAGGTAACTTACTTGTAAATTAGTACATTAAATTTAAAAAAAAACCCCTAAAATATCCTGTCCGGAGAGCCTAAAATATATTTGGGGCATAAGTGTTATTCTGCCCACCCATTTAAAAGTTCTAACAATATTAACATTTCCCCTCTAAAATTATACACCTTTCTAGAAGAAACACTACATAGAAAGAGCCAGAGACGAGCAAGATGTACAAATAATAAAGGATTTTTATTTATTTATTTATGAAGTCAGTCTTCCTTAAATAGAAAAGGAGTACTTGTGGCACCTTAGAGACTAACCAATTTATTTGAGCATGAGCTTTCGTGAGCTACAGCTCACTTCATCAGATGCATACCGTGGAAACTGCAGCAGACTTTATATACACACAGAGAATATGAAACAATACCTCCTCCCACCCCACTGTCCTGCTGGTAATAGCTTATCTAAAGTGATCAACAGGTGGGCCATTTCCAGCACAAATCCAGGTTTTCTCACCCTCCACCCCCCCACACAAATTCACTCTCCTGCTGGTGCTAGCCCATCCAAAGTGACAACTCTAACACGGCTGTTCCTCTGAAACCAGTCTTCCTTAAATGTTTTCCCTCTGCTAAGGTATACACACACACATTTGCCTTTTAATTCTCAGTGATATTTGTATTGGAGAAGACTGGAATTCAGGAATAAACTGCTGAAAAACATTAAATCTGGGAATTGTGAAATGCTTTATAATATCACTAGAACTGATCAAAGTTTACTGGAGATTCCAGTCAGAAAAGGAGTCTTTGTATTTCAGTCATCGGTAAATTTTACTTTAATTTGAAACATATTTGTAATTGAAGGCTACAGTTCTTGCTAAATATAATGCTCTGTTTTTTCCATTGAGAAGGTTCAATGGCAAAGAAATATATGAGCCTTAAAGAAAACTTGTGCACTTCTTGGAGTCAATGGGTGGTTTTGTCTGTGGGAGGACTTCAGCATCAGGACTTGGTTTACCAAACAGAAGTCACAAACCTGTTACATTTTTTATGGTGTGAAATCACAAGAGCACTGGGATAATATTTTTCCCCATCCAAATATGAAAATAATTGACTTTGATTTGGGTTAGAGTAGAGGGCCAGATTTTCAGCTAGTGAAAATCAGCATAGTTCCACTGATGTCAATAGACCTGTTAGTATAAACCATTTTAGGATCCAGCCTATATGTATATTACTCCCAGTCTGAGCTAAATAATAGAAATACATGAGGAGGTGCTATTGATGAGTTGGTTTTCTCTTATCTGAAGTAACTAAAACTTTCTTTACTTGGTTTCCCAGTTGTATATACTCTGAAGATCCTCGGTAATTGCACTGCAATATGAGCAAGAGAGAGAACGAGTGGCACACCCAATGTGAGCTAGCAGGAATAACTACAGATTTCATGGTTGTGACATCACCACCGGGTAATGTTTAATGGTTGTAATGTTAGCATCATAAAATCCAGCCAATAATATTGTACTCTATACAGTATATTGCTATCACACAAAAATGAAAATGTGAAGAGAAATGGGTTCTTAGGTTAAATTCAGATCTGGTATAAATGTCTGCCACTCCATTAAAGCCAATGAAACTGCACACTGTTCCACCATTTCTGAATCTGTCCCCTTGACTCTACAGGTACAATTCACAAATAAAAAGCACCAATCCCATACACTGTCAGAATGGGATATCTGCTCTTGTAAACTGCATAAAAGTCACACACTACTTCAAAAAGTAATTGCTTAACTCCCATTATATTCATCACAACTAATCCCCAAAACAGTGTCAACATGCACGTCAATTTTTTTTAATCTCATCTGCATTATCAACCAGTTTCCTCAGTCTCTTTCTACATCTGAAGATCTAAGACCTAAATGGTTACCCCTTCGACACATCACATAATTATTTAAAGACAGCATGTCCTATAATAGTTCCTTTATATCCCTTAAAAAGAAAAGGAGTACTTGTGGCACCTTAGAGACTAACCAATTTATTTGAGCATGAGCTTTCGTGAGCTACAGCTCACTTCATCGGATCCATACCGTGGAAACTGCAGCAGACTTTATATACACACAGAGAATATGAAACAATACCTCATATTCTCTGTGTGTATATAAAGTCTGCTGCAGTTTCCACGGTATGGATCCGATGAAGTGAGCTGTAGCTCACGAAAGCTCATGCTCAAATAAATTGGTTAGTCTCTAAGGTGCCACAAGTACTCCTTTTCTTTTTGCGAATACAGACTAACACAGCTGTTACTCTGAAACCTGTCTTTATATCCCTTATAAATTTTAGCTCCCTGTTACAGTGTGATCATGGTCATGTATATTTTTCTCATACGCACCCCAGTTAAATATGCCAGTTTTCAAATCACAGGAATCCCATTTTCTGCTTCCAGGGTCATTAAGTAAGATATGACAACTACAAGCCCCAAAATTCACCAGTTCCATTCTCCAGAAGCTTACTGCATAATTTAGACAGAGATCACAACAAATAATGAAGGCCGACTACGGTGAGTAGGAAGAAAAAATAGAGAATATGTCAAAGGGAATAGGACTTTTGGGAAAGCATGATCTTACCAGGAAAGCAGTTTACATAAGTTGTTCCTCTTTGAAGATTTCTTGTGTGTTGTAGCATATATAGACAGATAGATAGATAGCTGTTTTGTTGCATATCGGGTGCCTCAGAAGGAGTGGACAGTGCCACTGGAAAGGTTAGAATTAGATTAGTACGGATTTGAAGAGGGACTTGAAGGGGAGCAAGTTACTTGGCATTAATGAAAAGGGGGTGCTGTTTCAGGCGCAAGGCATAGCACCTAAAAAGGCACACAGCACTGAGTGGTGAGGGAGAGGAAATAAGAGCTGAGGCATTTCTATTTTTAGATATTTATAGAGGACAGATAGGGTGCATCATTGTAATTTCTGTGCACTGAGGCATGCATAGGACAAGGAATAAACTGAGTAATCAATAGCAAAAATTGAAACTGTGAACTCAAATGTAGAAATGAATTTGTTGTGTCTTGTTCATTCTTTTTGTGTTCAGTTTTGCAATATCTGAGCAATTGAATTTTACTTGCATGAATGCTTGTAGAGAGCAAATTTTATACACGTATGCCTGAGCTCTTTGGCATAGGACATTTTAAACTCACATTAGTATTTGCTCTGGAGAACACCCCCTCACACAATTACTTTGTGTGAATATGATGACAGAAAGTTAAATTCTGCATCCAGATAATTGCTCTTACCGTGGTTTCATATTTATAGGAATGATGCCTTGGGGAAGGCCTGCATGGGCCAGAAAGGAAAAGGTTTAACAATGTCTCTCTAGTTGTGTTTATTCACTATCTCAAATTCACACTGGCTTCAAACCCTCTTGGCTCCTCCTGGGTATCTAGTTGAGGAACAAAAACAATACCATGTGACTTACATAACCAGTCATGACTAACAAAGACAGACTGGGTATAGCCTTAGGCCCTTTGTTTTCAGCTCTACCATATTTATATGAAAATTTCCCCAGTTTTTAAAAAGAAAGTATTTGGGTTTTACCCACTTTTAACCCAAATTTTGCAAGTACTTGTCTGGAACTCCCTGCACCTATCTCCTCCCTTGCAGAGTCCTCACTGAATGGCATAGTGTAGAGTAACTTCTGCTTGATGTTGGCTGCTGTGCAGAGGGGGAGCAAGCCAAACAGTGGGCTGGGTCCTGGCAGCTGAGAGAGGCTCCCTGCCTGTCTCACAGTGGTTGAGGGAGGTGGGTGATAGTTCCCAACTGCTTTCCCTGCTGGACAGAGCCCCTTCCTGACCCCAGCCCTTCAGCCCAGCCCCATCTATTTCTTCTGTGTAGCAGGGAATGAGATAGGCAAATAGCCAGATTGCAGTAGCCAAGACGATCTGACCACTTAAGCAACAGACCAACGGGGAATGGAAGACACCCATCAATTCCCTGCCTGTTGCTCCTTCATTTTCAGTTTTTGCTGATTTTCATCCGTTTTTAATTTTTTTTATAAACACCGATACATTCCCAGGAAATGTTAAATAAAATAAAAAACAAAAGGCCTTACCTCCAGTGCACTATGGCTACTCTTGTGCCATGCTGCCACTATCATTCCCCCATGCATCCCCCAGGAAGGATCACACCAGTGCAAGGGAGATCCTGTGGTTGTGTAAAGCTAGTTTAGGGGCTGGTATGCCACATGTTCTCCCCATTCCCAGCCTAGCAGGGGAAAGGGGATGTTGCAGAAATGAGGGATAGGCCCACCGAAGTGATCTCAGGCTGTTGTTTTGACATTCACTAGCCATTAAAGGCTGGCATAAATTAGAGGAGCCCTCAGGCTGCTGTAACCCAGCCCAGGAGGAATAGCATGCACAGAGCAGTACCAATATTAGGGCTATGCAAAGGAAAGATTTAAGCTACTATTGCACACTACATTCTGATTTGTGTTCTATGCATTCTGGCTGTACCCAAGTACCTGGCCCATTGAGTATCAAATACTCCCAATAAACTCTTTACCATCATTCTCTAAAAGTAAAACAACAAAACAAAAATATCAGGAAAAAACTCCCATAACACAACTTACAAAAAAATTAGTCATGTACATTTGACTAGTGAATTAATTAGAAGAAATTACAATATACAGTCACTGCTCTGAGCTGCAGCTTTCTCCTTTTGTAAAATGGGAATGGTGATAAAGAGCTTTGAGGAAAGTACAATGGGAAGTATGGTCCCATCCTGCAAGCTGTTCCACGTTCTAGAAGAACTCTTGCACTCACCCAAATGGAACTACTTGCAGGATCATGACCTACATCTACAACTTTGGTTCTAAAAGCAGTTAATTTGGTCTAGCTCCAGAGCTACTGGCCATAGATTGGTACAAACTCTATTTCTTTGTGATCATATTCCCTGTATATAAGCTTTGTCCGATTTGTTCTCATTTCTTTTTTATTTAATTCATTTTATGGGCATTTCTATCACTCTCATTTGCATACTGTGGTCACCTTTTGTAATACAAATCATAGAGGGCCTGATTCAGCTCCCATTGACTTCAGTGGGATCTGCATAGGCACTATAAACCCAGCTGCAGCAAAGCACTTAAGCATTTGCTTGATGTGCCGGGTTAGATCACAGAAACCCCCTTGGGACTGTCACCTGATGTGCTAAGACTACCTCTGAGCCTGTTTTCTCTGCCAGTTTGTGCCTCCAGAACCCTGCCTTGTTGAGCCAGACATGCTAGCCTGCTGCAACATAGACTCAGGGTCTGAACCATGCTCCCCAAAGCTGCAGGCTTAACTGAAAACAGCTTAAGAAGTGCTCCTGTCTCCAGCTTCCAGACACCAAGCTCCCAATGGCATCTAAACCCCAAATGAATCCGTTTTACTCTGTATAAAGCTTATACAGGGTAAACTCATAAATTGTCTGCCATCTGTAACACTGATAGAGCGATGCACAGCTGTTTGCTCCCCCAGGTATTAATTACTTACTCTGGGCTAATATATAAGCAAAAGTGATTTTATTAAGTATAAAAAGTAGGATTTAAGTAAGAGACAGAACAAAGTAAGTTACTAAGCGAAATAAAACAAAACACACAAGTCTAAGCCTAATACATTTAAGAAACCGATTAAAGATAAAATGTCACCCTCAGAGATGTTCCAATCAGCTTCTTTTACGGACTGGACTCCTTCCTAGTCTGGCCCAATCCTTTCCCCTGGTACAATTCTTGTTAGCTCCAGGTCAGGTGGTAACTAGGGGATTTCTCATGACTGGAACTCTCTTTGTTCTTTTCCACCCCCTTATATAGCTTTGACACAAGGTGGGAATCTTTTGTCTCTCTGGGTCACGACCCCTCCTTCTAAATGGAAAAGCACCACATTTAAGATGGATTCCAGCACCAGGTGACATGTCCTATGAGACCCCCAAGCCTACATTCTTCCTGGCCTGACTCACAGGAAGGCTTGCAAGTAAACAGAGCCATTTACAACCAGTTATCCTAGTTGATGGGAGTCATCAAGATTCCAAACCACCATTAATGGCCCACAATTTGTATAATTACAATAGGACCTCAGAGTTATATTTCATATTTCTAGTTTCAGATACAAGAATGATACATTTATACAAATAGGATGACCACACTCAGTAGATGATAAGCTTTGTAATGATACCTTACAAGAGACCTTTTTCATGAAGCATATTCCAGTTACATTATATTGACATTCATTTGCATATTTTCATAAAATCATATGGAGTTCAACATCGCACTTAAGTCTTATTGACTTCAATGGGCCTTAACCAGGTGCTGAAAGCTAAGTATGTGCTTTACTGAATAGGATGGGATTATTGACATGCTTAAATCTGAACACATACTTAAGGATTTTACTGAATAAAGTTAGGATTACTCACATGCTCAAAGTTAAGCATATTTTCCTATGAATAAAATATGCTGAATTGAGGCTATGTACATTTTGTTTTTCTGACAAAAATATATATCTGAGACTCTTTTTACCACTCAGCATCACATAAGGTAGTGTGACAGAGTTCAATGTATTATTTACCAGTCTTGATTGTTGTAAACTTGGTTAATGATTGCTTTAATATTTACCGTAGCAATGGATTATATGGCATCTTCATAGCTTTTGCTATAAAAATAACTCCTTTGTCTCACTCTGCTGAGGCCCAGCTGTGGGACATAATGTAGGATGAAAATTCATATTGAAGGATGCAATTAAAATAGTAGATGAAGACTCTTGAAATAATTAATAGCTTTGACATAAGAGATGCTTTATATAAGCACATCACTATTCAGCATTCTAATTGTCGGTTGTTGAGAATAAAAAGGCTTTAGTCTGCATGTGAGTAGAATGGAGATAAATTTGTGTCTAAAATGAAGTACATAGTCCTTATCCATAAGTATCTTTGTGACAATTCGCAGGAATGGAATTTTAATATATTGTGGGAACATAGTAGCAAGCCATGTATCTTTCACCATTGGAGAGAGAGAGAGAGATCTTCCTTCATTAAAGATAAAAGATAGACAAGAATGATAAAAATAGGGCAAGATCTTGAAGTTATTTCCCCTGATATTTCCCCAAACTTTAAAATGCTTCTGTCTGACAGCATGGAAACGTATGGTGGATGGCTTTCATGATTTCAGTATGTTATTAACATGTACTGATAATGTGTACAGTTTGCTAACAAACCTAGTCCAAACCTGCTATGAAGAGATTTAAGACCCAGATGCAGGGTCTGACTTTCCTTTAGCAACAAGAACAGAGGCTTTTTCAGAAAGACTAGGAGATTTGAAAACTAATTGTTCAAGCCCATGCTGAATATATCATTATTTATGCCTTGTCCTGTCAAATTTTCTATGGGACTTTTGGGAGTAAAAAAAAAAAAAATGGGTGAAAGGTGAATATTAGACATATCCCACAGCATAAGAGGGGGAATCATATTTTTACCCCACTTAAGCTCTCAAGCAGAAGCTCTAACACTTTATGATGTGGCTGGTGACAAAGATTCTATTTCTATTTTGTAAAGATCCATTCAGAGGCCACCCGGTAGTCAGATTGTCAGCCAGAGTGTGCATCATACTGGTCAGATATACTGCTGATTGGAGTGCTCTGTTTGAGCCACAACATTTCCACAACATTCCTACAGGTGACTTGTTACTGAATACAGTATGGAAGCCTGGTAATTTATGCAAAAGAGCACCACTGTGTTGCCTGTGAGAATGTGCGTCAACTTTCTTTTGATCAGAAGAAGGGTCAGTCTTATAGTCTGGAACTCCAAAATGTGTGTGTGAGATATGGGTTCTTTTGGCTTTTGATATTGGGTTATCAACTGAGCGCGCCGATCAAAGCTGGATGCTCTTACTAAGTGTGATATCACTCACTTTTTCTTTCACATTGGCCAATGTGACACTGTACGGAATATGACAGGTTTCAGAGGAACAGCCGTGTTAGTCTGTATTCGCAAAAAGAAAAGGAGTACTTGTGGCACCTTAGAGACTAACCAATTTATTTGAGCATGAGCTTTCGTGAGCTACAGCTCACTTCATCAGATGTATACCGTGGAAACTGCAGCAGACTTTATATACACACAGAGAATATGAAACAATACCTCCTCCCACCCCACTGTCCTGCTGCTAATAGCTTATCTAAAGTGATCAACAGGTGGGCCATTTCCAGCACAAATCCAGGTTTTCTCACCCTCCGCCCCCCCACACAAATTCACTCTCCTGCTGGTGCTAGCCCATCCAAAGTGACAACTCTTTACATAATCAAGTCGGGAGAGTGAATTTGTGTGGGGGGGTGGAGGGTGAGAAAACCTGGATTTGTGCTGGAAATGGCCCACCTGTTGATCACTTTAGATAAGCTATTAGCAGCAGGACAGTGGGGTGGGAGGAGGTATTGTTTCATATTCTCTGTGTGTATATAAAGTCTGCTGCAGTTTCCACGGTATACATCTGATGAAGTGAGCTGTAGCTCACGAAAGCTCATGCTCAAATAAATTGGTTAGTCTCTAAGGTGCCACAAGTACTCCTTTTCTTTGTATGGAATATGTAAGTGCTTTATAATATTATTAATATCAATATTATAAAATTGCAGTTAATCATGCCAGATATGCCATGCAAGGTATCTGTGAAAATGTTATAATTGACCAAGTATGCTAATCTTGTTTATATGTTTGTATCACTTTTGTATTATGAATTATAGATATGTATATCTGTATTTCCAAACTTGTGCTGTGTTTCTTGGTGATACCCTCAGACAGATTGGCATCAGCACTGAGCCTGCTGGATGGCCCATCCAGAGTCATCAGCTGTACAAAGAACCCATTGAAAGAAGCTAGGGGTTACACTTTGAGTCATCAGGACTTGTAGGGGCATGCCTCTGGACAGGGGACTCCAAGGTATTTCCATGCCATGTGCTGTGAAGCTTGCACACACAAAGTACAAACCAGATGGCAAAAGGAATATAAAGGGCAGCTGCATCATTTCCATTTTGTATTCGTTCCTGCTTCTTACCTCTGTAGTGACTTTTATACAAACAAGGGTCTGAACAAAGGAGTGAATGACCCATCCAAGCTGTGGATGTATTCCAGAGAGACTTTCAAGCCAGCAAACTCACCAATATTGCTAAGAACCTGATTTATGGACTTTGAAGTCTCTGTATGTATCTGAGTGCTTTATCATTTAACAACTCTCTTCTAGTTCTTTCTTTTTTCTTTATTATAAAGCTTTAGTTTTAGACACGAAAGGATTGGCTGTCAGCATGGTATTTTGGGTAAGATCCAAACTAATATTGACCTGGTAACATGGCTGACCCTTTGGGGTCAGAAGAACATTTTGAATAGTAAGCAGAGTTTTTAAATAACTTCTCACTGTACTGGACCCATATGCTGCTTGGGAGCCAGAGAATTGGAATGCAATAAAGGGGGCTGTATGATTTCTTTTTTCATTGTCTCAGTAACCAGTGTAGGGGGATCAGAAGCACAGTTTGTGACTCGTTGGTGAGTTTAACTTCAGTGTTACTCACAAAACTAATCGTTATCTGCTCTCCCTTTTGCAGCCTGCCCTGACCTTGGTATTTTCAATGAGCGCTGCCCCACTCACACAAGGTCACAGCCAATACACTGTTCTGTCTGTATAGTTTCACATAGTTTAAGACCAGAAGGAGCCATTAGATCTAGTTTGACCTGCATAGCATAGGCCATTACAAATATCACCCAATGACCATTGTATTGAGCCCAATAACTTCTATGCGTGATTAAAGCATATCTTGGGTTTTGCAGATCTTCCAGAAGAACATTCAATATTGATCTGAAGACATCAAGAGATGGAGAATCCACCCTTCCCTTGGTAGTTTGTTCCAGGAGTTAATCACCCTCACTGTTAAAAGAGTTTTTTCAGAGGGTGCGAGAAGTCTAGTTCTATAGTTACTGGGATTATGGCAATGTTCATCTACTTATATGGTATGCAAAAAAGAAACAATCTTCAAACTATGAAAGGAATGCTGTCAGGGGGACAAATTCTTAAATTACTAATCAGTTTTTACTCATTCCAAACACAGAGTGTATAATCCCAACCCATTGCAGACAATGCTAGTTTTGCAATTGACTTCAGTGGGGCCAGGATTTCACTTGAGTAGGTTTTTTATGCAGCATAAAAACAACATGGTTTTATTGAGTTTAGTTCCTAGTTGTTAGCATACTCATCCTCTAAAGTAGCACAAATTCTACACGAGATGCTTCATGTTGCTGTATTTTACAAAGTAATAGACAATCCTTTAAAACATAAAATTAACAATCTTGCATGGATGACTTTAATTAGATATTCCTGGTATAAAACAACCATTATGTACATTTTATGGTTATTAAATTTATTAGACATAAAGATGCACTGGTTGCAACATTTATTTGTATGATTTTGGTATGGAGCTTATATACAGCTTATATCTGTAATTTAACTTTCCAATACTCATTGTAAAATAATTTCACATTTCTAATTTCTTATGTTTGTTGCACTGTACTCTGAAAAACAAAATATATAGAATACAGTTTGTATTTTAAAAGGAGCAAGATTGTTGATGTTATAGATGTGTTGTGTATTCTAGGCCATTACCCTCTCCGTATTCAAGCTCACTACTTTCATGATGCCCATAAAAAGTGAACAAACACAACAATCTTGTAACTCAAAGCTAATCCTTCTTCTAGGCTTTCCAGGAGTCCAGGACATCCTTCTTCTCCATTTTGTCTCTTAGGATCCATGTTTATTCTCCTCAGTAACATTAAATATGACTCACTTCAGAGGATCAAGCTTTTATACTGTAAGCATTTCAGGTTATTTTGGGTGAAATTCACTACTATCTAGAGGGCTAGTAGAAGGCCTGTTTGGTATTTAAATCCTCAAATTAAGTCTTAAATACTGTGAATATTACACTGTGGCTTATATAGCACTGAGTAAATTGTCAACACTTAAATAATAACAATAATGATAAATACCAAGAAAAGGAAATAATATTAATGGGTTTATAAAAATGATGGTTGAAACAGAAGTTGCCAAAAGAGTTAGATTACTAACTATAAGTTCTCTATTTTAGTAATTGTTTAGACATTATTAGTAAAGGTGAAATTTAGTCAATTCTGATCATATTTCTAATAAGACAGTTCTAGCTTGGAGTACTTTTCCTATACACAAGTCTTTCATTGACACATCACATGAGAAATGGAAGGTACCTGCCAGTTACAAATATGACAGATGCACTTAATTAAGTGGAGTCCATTAATAAGAGCTTACATGTCATTTTACCATATGGAAAGTCTTAGTCATCATCAAGGAATATATGAAAGGAGAAACAGTTTTGCAGTTGGATAGTTTCCTTGTTTTAGCTTTGTCACACAGATGATCCAAGCTGTAGAATGCAAATGTAAGTCTTGCAATCAAAAGTGTTTTTGCAATAACTGTGTTGTTTAGGACATTCTCCGATTATAGAAGGGCCAGATTAACCCATGGTATAAAAGGCCAGCACAAAGCCCTCTATCGTGCTTGGCTCACATGGGGCTGCACGGGGAGACTGGCCAGCTGAGTGGCTGGGAGAACTGGTCTCTGCAAGGTCAGAAAGGAAAGGTCCATTTTGTGATGGCTTGGAGGTGGGGAACTGTTGATGCATACACATAAAGATCTAATGGTTTCAGTGCCCCATACAACTGGCCAAAAGGGGCTGCTGTGTGGGTGCCCCTAACCCTGGCTATGGAATGAATTTTACCTCCCTAGCCTCCTCACACCGCATTCATAAAGAGTCCAAACACGCAAGCTTTGTGTGGGCAATGTAAAATTTCTGCACAACAGAATAAAATGCAAATCACAGAAGGTGAGAAAAAGAATTTTCTTAAACAACAGAATGAACAAACAAAAAAGCACCTCCCAATGAATTACTCATTTTCTTTAATGTGGTTATTGCATAAGTGATCTTTACAGGATTATGAAATAAATTCTGACCACAATGTGTGGGCATGTATAAATTTGCCTGACTTAGGGCCTTATACGGCAAAACTTGACTTATGGTCAGTAGTTCTTTTGGCTGCAATAATCTACTCACATGCATTAGGGGTTGTAAGGATCAAACTCTCAGATTTATAATCAGAAATGAAACAGGTTGCTCCAGAAAAACTTATTTGAACAAGTTTTTGAACCATATTAGCTTGTTCACCCTTCCTTTTAATTAAAATCTAATTTCTGGGGATCTGATTTTTTATATATATTTAAAGGTAAGTTAAACGTCTGCTATGAAAACATTTTAAAAAAAAGAGTATAGTTGTATCCATTTTCAAAACCGGACTATTTAAATAATGAATGATGTTCACTTCCTCAGAATGTGTAAACGTCCTAACTTAGAGTTAAACTGTCAACAGCTGAAAGACAATACCATTGACATGTACCTGGCACTAGTTACTCAGGTTTATTTTTTCCTGGAAAGCTGTTTGGGGCGACAGAGTGGCGTCCGGGTTTCCCAGGTTGTTGTGCTGACAAACTGCAGCGGTGGTAAAGGCACGGAGTCTGACAAAATCTCATTAATCATTTTAAATTAAATCCAACATTCCGCTCCAACACTGCCAAGAATAAAGCTAAACTTTTACAAATGAACATTCCCTCTGAAAAGATTTGATATCCTGTCCTTGTTGCTCTCTAAATAAATATATTTCACACACACACGAACTAATATTATTTCTAACCTTAAAAAAACAACTTTAGGGCTGATTGTCAGACATGCTGAGCTCCTTCGGGTCCTGCTGATTTTAAATGGAGCTATGAGTGTGCAGCATCCCATCTGAAAAGCAGACCCTGTTTGTTTAGTTACTATTTTCCCAGAATCTCAGGAATAAAAACTTTGAAAAAACCTGTTAAGCAAATACGGAAATTTACTTTTTTTAAAAAAATGGAAAAACTTCCACATGAGGATAGGAAATTTTCTTTGTAATGGTTTTATATCCCATCTATTCTTTTTAGTTTGAAGGAGTAAGAAAGGAAAATTACAAACCAATTAACAGTGCTGGCAAACTCTGTAAAATGATGTAGTAACAGAAATGTGTACATTTCAAATACAGTAAAGACATTTTTTCCACAACTAATATTAGCTGAAATCTATTATGCTTTTACTCATGCATATTTTATACTAATAAAATATATCTTAAATATATCAAAAGATTTAGATTTATTTTAATTGCTAAAATCGCTATTGTAGGATTGTAGGTAGATCATACAGTTTTGTATATTATTGCTCTTTAAACCAAAATGAAACCATAGCATGCCTATGGGAGATGCAGGAAATCCTTCAAGTCTGTCCTTTGTCCATTTTAATAGTGCTTTTGAGATTAGAGCGAAAGATTTTACAACGGCAGAAAGCTAGTCGTCAACCTTAATGCTTATTAGTTTTGATACTTATTTGAAATATGTTAAAAGAAAAAAAAAATAAAAACCTTTACTTTGATTTTCAACAGTAATTCAATAGAAGGGAAGTAAATCTGATTTTTTAAAATACTTACAGCTGTGTAATTGTGTGCCTTTTCTAAATGAAAATAGCGCATCAGTGTTGCCAAGGATTGAAAATGGTTTCAGATTTGCTTCTTATAATATAGTTCACTTTACAAAACGGAGTGGATTCCACAGTGACAAGCTTGGACACAAAAAAAATCCACCATTATGAAAAGAACAATTCTTGCTGACAAATTAAATAAATAGTGTATATAAATCTATTGTGCATACATTAGAGAATGGAGCTAGTGATGCTGATTTGGGCATTTCATGTTTCTAAATACTTATTCTCAAATTGTTTACAATTTTCTCAATGATTTTCAGTGTGGGCCAATATGGTTTTATAATTGGTCTCATCTGAAAGGTGAATTTTATTTTAAAGTTTCAAGAAAATTGAACTGGTTTTGACTGGCAACTTCTATTCCCAACCTTAAAATAAACAGACCTATTTTATACTTAAAATATGTTTGTTTTTTTGTGTCATTATATCTCAGACAGCTTCATTTTATTTTAGAATGTCAAATTTGGCATAAATCTGTGATCTTCAGTGATGGATAGTAGCTATGCAAGTTAGTAACAAGTGGTTTTGGAAAAAAAAACCTTAGACATTAGAAGAGATTGAAGATGACATACTGAGCATGTGCAGTACATCAGATTCTTTAATGAAATAAGTACACAACATTCCACACTGACACACACACTAGTTTCATCTGGATGTATGCAGAACAGTTGTGCTTGTGTCACACTCGAGTATGGCTGAAGCCACCATGGTGAAAGATTTAAAATGTGGTCTCTCAGAGTATGTTTTATAGGGCTCTGACCTGGGTGTTGCTCTGAATCCCCTCCCCCCAGCCCATACACCAGAACTGTCACTCAAATTTAATGGTGCTTTCAACCTGGTCTAGCTGGCAGAGCTGGGCATATGAATTAAAGAGAGGGTTACTCACCCTGTGCGGTAACTGAGGTTCTTTAAGATGTGTGTCCCTATGGGCGCTCCACTCTAGGTACTGCGGCACCCCCTGCACCTGGGAACAGAGATCTTCACCAACTGTGCCTGATGGACTTCACATGCGCACCTCCCCTCTCCCGCGCGCTGTGTGCGGGACGTGTATATAGCACTGTATAATCCGACTGCCCCCAGTTCCTTCTCTGCCGCAGAGCTTATGTTTTTGGCTTCAAAGCAGAGGGGAAGAGGGTGGAGAGTGGAGCACCCATAGCGGAACACATCTTGAAAAACCTCAAGTTACTGCACAGGGTGAAAAGAAAAGGAGGACTTGTGGCACCTTAGAGACTAACCAATTTATTTGTGCATGAGCTTTCGTGAGCTACAGCTCACTTCACGGCTGTTACTCTGAAATCTGCACAGAGTGAGTTACTCTCTCTTCTTTGAGTGGTGTCGCTGTGGGTGCTCCACTGTAGGTGGCTATAAAGCAGTGCTCCTAGTTGGAAGGATGGGCTTTGGAGTGACATGTACTGCCAACGATAGGACAGCATGTCCAAGGAGAGTGTGCATAATAGTGTAGTGCCGGGTGAAAGTGTCTGTCGATGCCCACGTGGCAGCCTTACAAATGTCATAAATGGGGACATTATTAAGAAAGGCAGTTGAGGTAGGCAACGATCATGTGGAATGTGTTCTGACTGAGGTAGAAGGTTGTCTATCATGGAGTTTGTAAGATAAACATATACACTGTGAGATTCATTTAGAGAGGCATTGTTTCGATATAGTAGTGCCTCTGGATCTTTCGGTGGTGGAGAGGAATAAGTGTGGCAATTTCCAGAAGGGTTTAATCCTGTCCAAGTAGAAGGGTAATGCGCACCTCATGTCTAGGGTGTGTAGAGCTGCCTCCTGTTGATTACTGTGTGGCTTCAGAAAGAAGCAAAAGGAGGTGTGTTGGTTGGTTGAGATGAAAAGATGTTGGGACCTTAGATAAGAATCTTGGGCATGGTAGTGTAACTTTGCCTTTATAATACACTGTGTATGGTGGATATACCAGGAGGGCCATGATTTCGCCCACTCATCGAGCAGAAGTGATGGTGACAAGAAAGGCCGTTTTCATTGATAGGTAGATGTAAGAACAGGTTGCCATTGGTTCAAAGGGGGCCTAGTCAGAGAATGTAGGACCAGGCTTGGGTCAGGTCTTGTATATGGGGATAGAGATTTTGAATACCCCTCAAGAAGCGCTTCATGAATGGGTGTGTGAAGATGGAGTGACCATCAATGGGTGAGTGAAAAGTAGTGATTGTCACCAAGTGTACCCTAATTAGAGCTATTGGCCAATCCTGACTGTTTGAAGTGTAGAATGTAGTCAAAAATAAGTGGCAAAAGGGCCACTGCATCAACCTGGTGTGAGGTGCATCAGCAGTGAAATCTAGTCCATGTGAATGTAAGTGCCTTTGGTCGAGTCACTCCTGTTATTGTAAAGTATCTTTTTGACTGTGTCTGAGCAGGTTATTTCCGGGCCCCAGAACCATGGAGGAGCCAAGCTTTGAGATGAAGCATCTGTGGATTGGGATGGAGAATGCATCCTATGTCCTGTGAGAGGAGTCAGCGTTAGGTGGAGAGAGATCAGTCAGCATACCATCATGCATAGAAGATAAGTATACCAGACCTGTTGGCAGGTGAGGAGGAAAAATGTAAAGTTGCGGGAGCCTCCTCTTCCTCCTGTTCTTTCTTCTCAGTTGGCACTGGTGGCAGTTCAACTTCCTGAGGGTGAGACACTAATGGAGAAGGGAGAGGTGTAGGTCTCTGGCTTTGCTTTCTGGGAGGATCCTGAATTGTGCCCTGTACTTGGCCCAAGGGTCCCCCTATGGCCAGTTTGGTGGGAGTGGCACATGTGGCTGCATCCATGGTGGTCCCTGCCAGGATTGGGGGCCCACAGGTAGTCTCCATATAGTGAGGATAAGATGGTGCAATTTGTCCAGTAGGGAACAATGGAACTCTGTCCTCCTCCTCACTGGGGAAGGGAGATGCCATCCTCAGTGGAGAGAGGGAGAAATGTCATGAGTCTGGAGAGGTGGGTAGAAGTGCGGGGACCTCCCATTGAAGAAGCAGAGACTCTGGAGTGTCACATACCAGCAGGTCTTTAGGGTATCTGAAGTCTTGTAGAAGTGGAAGGAGCATCATTGATGCCGTTGTAACACACAGTGGGGAGGGAAGAGTTTATGTCCCTGAAATTTCAGAAGATGGTGCTGAAGACTTGGCTGGTGCCGAAGATTTCTGTGTCAATGAGTCGGTCATTGCTGGTGACTTGGTCAGTGCCGATGATTTTGATGGTGCTGAGGTCTTACTCTCAGTCAACGGCTTCATCGGTGCCGTAACTCCTGCAAATGGGCTGCCTTGGTGCCCAGAGCTGGGGAACGGTGCCGAGAGCTGAAGGTTTGTGCAGATAGGATCTTGAGACTATTTATTTGAGCCAGTATACTTAAATGAACCCCAGAACTATGTCCCCTGTTGGATGAGGTTGAAGCCACTGACCTAGCCAGGGATGTTCTGGTGGGCTGCGCCTCAGAGTGTGAGGAGGAGGAAGCCCATTTCTTGTCATCTGCACGATCACAAGATGACTTTCTCTTCACAGGGCATGTGGGGGAGGCAGCAGACGACCTGGCAGAAAGTGAGGGTATCTTTGGGAAAGAATCTGGGCCCGAGCCTGATGCTGGATGTAGCATTTTCTCCATGAGGAGAAGTTTCAGTCTAATGCCCTGTCATTTCTGGCTCTAGGTTTCAGGCTGAGGCAGTGAGAACACTTTTGTGAAATGTGTGCCTCTCCCAGATATACACTGCAGGTGGCCATCTGTTATTGAGAAGGTGGACCCGCATGAAACGCACCTCTTAAACCCAGGAGAGCCAGGCATAAGGGCGAAGGGAAAAGGCTTCCCAGTTGGGAAGGACAGGAAGTGGGAAAAATGGAAACCTAAGCTATGAGAAGAACTGCAAAGTTAAAACAAAAACATTGGTTTTAAATAGAAGGAGAAGGGGAAAAAAAAAAAACTAACTACACTATCAGGTAAGGCACTGTCTAATAGGAGAAGCAGGCTCTGCTAGCAGATTCCGTCCCAGATGAAAGGCACTAGAGAAGGAATTGGGAGCGGTTAGACCACACAATGCTATATACATACTGCGTGCAACGCGCGAGAGAGGAGGTGTGCATACATGGTCCGACAAGCACTGCTGGTGAAGATCTCCAATTCCAGGCACAGGGGGTGTTGCCAACCTCCAGTGGAGCACCCATAGAGACATCACTCGAAGAAGCAGCCTGGGTTATTTGCAGTGAAGATGAAGACTAAATCTGGTGCTGCTAGTCCTCCAATCCCTCCCACAATTCCTCCTGTATACCCTGAAAGACAGACAAGTTCTCCTACAATTCATGGGGAAAAGAACTATAGAGTGACTTACTGCATCACAAAGAACCATTGGAGATGCCCCCAGAAATCCTAGTGCTACTCATGGTGGAGTCACAGGACCAGGGAAGACACAGGGTGGGTTCCACAAAACTCATATTCAGCTGCCACCTAACTCTGTAGGTGCTTAAACTCAGTGCTTAAGTTTCTGTAGTAAAAGTTCCCAAAGCACCTATGTTCCTACCACTAGACATCTGATTCTAGGCCTGCCAGCTCTCAGATGAGTGTGCTACCCCTTGGGCAATGGGATATTCTGATGTGGGACCCCTTCAGTTTCTCCTGTTGAAGTTGTTCCACTTTTTAAATAACTGAGTGATTATTTTGACCTGAGAATTAAAATAACTCTCTAGCCCAGGGGTTAGGGCACTCACCTGAGAGGTAGCAGATCTCTGTTCAAAGCCCTTTGCTTCATTAGGCAGAAGGGGGACTTGACCCAGGGAGCTCTCACATCTGGTGTGAGTACCCTAGCCACTGGGGTAAAGGTTATAAGAGAAGTCCTCCACGTCCCCAGTTTTATGAAGTTAGGCAGCCTCTGAGCTCACCTACCAGATCAGCTCACCTACATGGCTCAGACAGTGGAACACCTATCTTTCCCCAGTTCGTGGATCACTAGCAGCAATAGGCATCTCCCTGCAGCCCAGACTTAGACACCTACATCCCAGAGAGGAGAAGGGCGTAAGACACTCCCTTCTCATCAGCATCTCCCAGAGGCTAGCTTAGGTGGCACTGTGCTTGTGTGCTGATTTTGTGGATTGCAGTGTTGTTCCGGTGATTTTCTAGGTGCCTAATTTCGTTTTTTTGCATCCAGGCCACTGTAACTTGAGGTTTCTTAGTAGAGTTAGGATTAACCTGTCATTGCTGCGTCTGCTCTTAGGTCTTCTGAAAGAGGATGTGCTAATAGACCTGGCATACAGACAAAAGTAGTCATGTGGTAGAACAGAGCAGTACTGTGGAACTCAGGTCGAAAGACCATCTGCAATACCAGTGGTTCTTGTCCTCTCTGGTGTAGGCTGCACAAGTACAACTGGAGTGAAGACTTGTTTTGAGGTACTGTACTTGAACCACACCTGCAATATCTGGGTGCATTTTTGTATGTGGATGAGAGATATATTAGAAATACTATAGGCACTAAATACTGCATTTACCAATAGCAGAACTCTCTTTACTTCAGTTTAAATAGCCCGTATGCAGCTTGATAGCACCTAAAGAAAGTGGCACTGTGGTTAAGGCAGTTGACTAGACCTCAGGAGATCTGAGTTCAATTCCTAGCTCTATCATGGGCTTCCTGTGTGACCTCATATGTAAAATGGAAATAAAAATACTTACAGATCTCACAGTGGACCCCAGGATAAAATCATTAAATGACTAACACAGATACTGCAGTGATGTGGCTATACATGCATCTAAATACACATCATCAGGAAAGAAAATTAAGGAATAAGTAAACCTCATGCATAATATAGAGAAATGCGTATTGAGAGTTACTTGGCTAACAGCCATACAGCTCCCCATTCATTGTAATAGAAGCTGCAAAGCTAAAAGTACCCTTTAAATTGTAAGTTAGTACATAACTGAAACTATGTTCCTGAGTCTAGAACCTGCCTACATGACCACTAGACGAGGAAAAAGGTGCTTTTAAAAACTGTGTTAGCTAATATATCACCTCATGTTGGCACAGTTTAACAACTTCACAATTGTGTTCATTGGCTGTGTTTATCCCAAATTCTCCATCAATGGAATATCTAGATTGGAAAACTGGTCGAGGTAAGGTTAAGGTTAGGAACAACATGTTAATTAACCTCCATCGTGAGCTAGTCTTGACATGCTCCGCCTTATCACACAATGAGCTAACACAATTGTAACTTCATCTCTGCTATGTGTCAAGGCTGCTTTCAAACTTGAATTTTTAAAAAATCAGTGTTTCTAGTCTATTCATCATGTAGATAGGTCCTCAGGATTTGTCTAACTACAGTTTGTGGTCCCATTTTAACTTGCATTAATAACTGACTGCCAATTAATTTAAGTTAGCTAATGCAATAGTAAACGCTAGTTTAAACACTCCACAAATGTTCGGTGTGTCCTGGAACAAACATTGATGGAATGTCATGGCCAGCATTTCTCTAACTCAGATATCTGAGAAAACCAACATCATGAAAACAAGAGCAAAGTTTGCAATGTAAAGTGAAGAAATACAAGACTATTTTTAAGAGAGAAAAAGGAAAAACTTTAGTTAAAATATTTTACAATAAAATAATGATTATAAATCTCTTTAGTTAAATATGTACACATTACATGGTATTTTAAAAAATAATGGAACTGGTTAAAGTTTTCAAGCAAATCTAATGCACAAATCCACCATCTTGTCAGCTTTAGATTGTAATGTCAGTTTAACATTCATAAATGGCTGTGTCAGACTAATGGCACTGCTTTGTGCAAAACAAACAAAATTAAGAAAAAAATCACCAAAATCCTTCCGTTCCCATGGTAAATTTCTAAAAAAGGTAGTACATACAACACACATTGTGATTGTATACAGAGGTTAGAATGCCCAGCACTAATATAACCCCCATATCTACAAAATAATTAACTCCTTGGGTAGCTTTAGTTTTTGTAAACTACTAATTCTTAGTCCTAGCAAATTGTGCTTTTAGGCAGCCACGTGGCCAATAAGGTAGATGTTGTCATAAAGGTGCCCTACAAAATCTTCACTAATGTTCTGAGCAGCACGTCGTGTGTTTCGGATAAATTCTCTCTTTGACATTTTGTTCTTCACATGAGGGCTGGTAAGATCAATGGAAAGCAGAATCAAAGAGTAGCATAGTACATAAACTGCATCTAAAGAAAAGAGAACATTATGAAGTTATTGTTTACAGAACCGTAAGTATGGATGGCACTTTACAGGCAACTAAAATTACCAGTCCCTGCTCAAGGATCTTATAATCTTAAGGGCTTGCATGAATAGATATGCACATGAGTAACTTTACTCACATGAGTAGTCCATTGAAAACAATTTATTATTATTGAAAAGTTATAATAATGCAGTGCTAAATAAACACCAATGAATTTATTTATATATATAGAGTATCTAAAGTGTGCAAAATTCTTTACAAACATGAAGGTAGACTGATCCCTTCCCTGAAGAGATTTCACTTTAAGGCCCTGATCCCACAACTGCGAGGCACATTCTAAAGACTAAGTATGTGAGCAGTCTCACTGGGTAGAATCCTGGCCCCACTGAAGTCAATGGCAAAACACCCATTGACTTCAATGCGGCCAGGAATTCACCCTATTTGCTTCAGTGGGATTATTCACAGGGTGTAAAGTTAAGCTTATGTGCAAGTCTTTACAGGATCAGAACCTATAGAGACCACAGAGATAAAGGGCAGACAAGGGTGAAGGGAAAAGATGCAACACAACTATTTTTTAAAATCACTTTTTGTACATGAAAGTTGTTTGCCTGTCAGGTATGTACAAGAGGAAAATCAGTAAGTCAAAAGTTTTTTTTTTTTTAAATTACTATTACTTGTCTGTATTACTGTAGCTCCTGACAGGTGTCTGTTTGCTTACTGTATACAATATACGCAGACCTGACCCTCTCCCAAGACTAATCTTTCTACTTTTAGAAAATTTGTAATTGGACCCTGATTTAAACCCACTATGAAAAGTAACATTTTTCAAAGTATATGTAGATAAATATAGACTGATTCAATGCACAGAAGTCCTCTCTTCTTACCAGGGCTAAGGCCAAGTTCTCTCATCAAATCAGGATTACAAGCACAGAATCTGTGTGAGAACTTTGTTATAAGAGTCTCAAGATACTCCCCACGCTCCTCAGGGGCATGAATGTGCCTGAAAAACTCTCTCAGTGCATTTGGCAAGAACTGATTTCTGAAGTTGTGCAGTGTCACAAGGTCATCCAAAACATCTCTCCTGGTTGGGGGGGCATGGGGGGAAATACAAAAAACATTTAGAGAAATTTCCTTTCTACTGTTTAAACATGAAACAAGGTTTCACAGATTAAAATGAAGATTTCTTAAAGAGTCTTAATTATAGGTATTTTCTGTCATGAGAAAATGAAGAAAAAAATCCAACAATGATAAAGCAAGAATAGGAAACACACGTTCCTCAGACTCCTACCACAGCAGCGTACAGTTCAGCCTAATACTTTAGAGAAATTATAATAAAAGCAGTATTCTAAATTTGTACACACACACAGAGTACAGAGGAAATTGAGGCTGCAACAATACCTGAGAAAACTAAGGAAACCATAGTCAAAGGAATAAATATACAATATGTTTTTCAGGGCCTATGTACATTAACAAGCAGTTAAGGCAGTACTCTCTTAAAACCAGGCTCAGCTAAGGTGATATTCACTGATGGTGCATAGGGCTGGCATAGAGGCCCTCCGCAACGCTCAGCTTCAGTGGGAATGCATGCTCAGTCTATTCCCTGAATATCAAAATGGCTTGGTGTGCAAGGGAAACTTGGAAGCAAGCCAGGGGAGCGGCAAGAGAGCCACAAATGTACTGATCCAGTGGCTGAAAACGTCCCAACTAGGGGTTGTAGAGCATCAGCATCCAGAATTCCAGCCTATGGTCTATTCTTTTGCACATCTACAATTTCCACGCCCCAGTCTAAACACAGTGTCTTGCTTAAAGCCTGGTTACTCATTCTTTCGGGAGGAAAGGTGAATTTCATTCTTAAGAAACAAGAGAAAATATACATAGCAAAATATTAAGAACAACATTCCAATGCTAGAGAGCAAAGATCTCCTATGTAAGGTGACATTCCAATTAAGCTTGGAACTGAAAACATGGAAATAAGTACACTATCTGACCTTTACTAGATAAACACAGTATGCTTATATACATATAGTGGTGCATGTGCACACATGCTAGAACGGAGTAAATGTTCTGCTTTAGGAATAATATATTTTAGCTGAATCTCTGTTTGAGCTCTTAATTCAAATTTTTCTAATTAAAGATTATTTTTCATTAGATTAGTACATGTAAGAAGAGTGATTACAGAAAGGTGCTACAGACTGAAAAAAAGGAATATAGCATTTTTTCCTCATTACAGATTCAAATTACCTTTCATCAAGATAGATCCTCAGTTTCTTCCAATTTAGTGTTCTTGTACAAAAGATAAACTTAGCTATTTCCTTTGGTGAATCATCCAGTATACCCTTGGACATAAAGTAGTTAACTCCCTGAGACAAAAAAGGACATTTTTATATAAATAAAATTGGTCTTAACAATTCTTTTATGGGCAAATATTGTAATGAGTAATATTGGAACATAAGTCTGCTAACATTTTAGCATAATACCTCCTTCATCCTCTAAACAGCATTTCAACATGCACAACACAATCTAAAATTAATATAAATCAAATGCAAATAAAATTAATGCAACATTATGGTTGAGATTTTACATGTACTAACAGTAGGAAATTCAAAATTACACAGCCCACAGCAAGCATAATTTGATTCTGTTGTATTTTCTCTTACTATTTTTCTGTCATATGTATGTACATGGTGATTAAATTATGTTTGTTGTAGGGACCATAATTTATAATTTCCTAATTATGGTGCATATAAAAATCTTGGCTTTTTGCCTTTATTTTTATCTAAAGCATTGATATCAATGTTCTTCCATGTGTATGGAATCACATTCAAATAAATGCACTATATACATTTAATTAAATGTATAATAACTCAAATAATGCAAGTGTGTTTATTCAAAGTGCAGATCAAGATACACACACATATACATATAGTATATATGTATAAAAAAATCCAACAGCACTCTGCCTCTCCCTAATAAAAAAAAAAACTAGTTTAGAAAGTGACAGAATGAACATATATCATATGCTATCTATTCAATTATTTATTACTTCTACATTACAACCATTTTTTCACACTTTGCCAAGCACACACTTTTCACTAAGAAGTATGTACATGCCAAATTTGAACATGTAAATACAATATTTAAAAATTTTTTGGATGCTTTTCTTGAATTCAAGTATCTTAAAGCATGAAAAACTACTTTTGTCATGGTCTTATAATTCAAAAGCAGTTTACTGCATTTTAACCAAAAATTTTGGGGAGGGGTGGGTAGAGGGAGAAAAACCGTGACCTATTTAAACGCAGAGCATAAAACTTTTTTGGGAAGGGGCTTAAACTCAAATTGCGTCTTCTGCAGTAAATATGGCAACACAACAGTGATAATATAATGCTGAAATATGTACCAATGTGCAATCTAATGCATTATCTTAATTTGATTTAGACATCAGTGTATCAGTGCAACTCCCTAAATCACCAAATAAGATAATCCTTACAATTTTTTTTCATTATAAATCTTCTGATTCCAGGTACTTTACAATATATTCCAAATTTCCCCTTTTGGATTAAATTATATCTATAAAGACACAGTGGGGGCAACCTAACACTTTGTTTATAAGCAACCTTCCCAGTGATGTCAATTGAAGTTCTGCATAAATAAGGAGTGCAGGACTGAGCTTTTAATCTGGAAAGTTATTTTATAAAAAGTGAAACAGTTAAGTAAGACAGAAAAGCTGAACCATGTCAAGCAAACATGATTCTAGAAACTACACCTTGAGATGATGATCAGGGACTTCACTTAAGAGACCTGAAAGACTAGCACACACATACACAACACACATAATATGCTACTTAGTCTTCTTTTTTTTAAACTGGTTCATAATTTGTTTTTATATTTGTGGAAAATGTTACCTGAAGTAACATAGTTCTTTAGTTATAATCGAAACAATGTTTTAAATATATGCAAAAAATTAAATATATGCAAACAATTTTCTATTAGGAACAAGGAATCTAGGCAACTTTAGGGCCTGATTCAGGTAAGCATCCCTATTCAGGGCAGCATTTAAGCATGTGTTTAAATTAAAGCATGCACTTGAGTGTGTGCTTAATACCCATTGACCTAATTGGGATTTATCTAGGCTTTTCCAAATAGGAATGGCCTTAAACACATGCTTAAGTGCTTTTCTGAATCGAGGCTTAAATGGGAAACTAAAATGGATTATCAAAATGATTAAACAATTGCTCACTGATGCCTCAAGTATTTTGACAATTGCTTAAATATGACAAAAAGCAAAACATCAACACTACAATATCTCATTACATCTTCTGTTTAACTCTGCCTCCTTAATCTTGCACCCTGATTCAGCAAAACATTAAAGTAGGTGCTTACCTATAAGCACGTGCTTAAAAGTGTTCAGGTGAACTGGTGCCTTGCGGAATATCCTATTTTTAAACAAGCTGTGTCCTCACAGCACTTACTCTTCTTACTACAGGGTGTTACTAAAAGAGGGAGACATTGGACAATCGGAACAGATATGGATTTACCATCTACCTTCACAATGAAAAAAGTCACCTGTTCTACACAGACAATCTGAACTTGTTCTCCCAGAACTGGGAGATGCTGGGAAATATTTCTGTGCTATATAAGGCTCTTCAGAACCAGCAGTGTGTTGTTGGTACTCATTATACAAGCGACCAGCTCCTCATTTGACATCCTCAAACCCACCCTAGCTCTACTTCCTTCTTTTATTGTAACTTCTTATGCCACTGCCATCTCCTCACTCATTTCCTTTTCCTCTTTTTCACACACACACAAGGTGTGATTGCATATTCATTCCAACACAGTAACAGTGACACTTTGGAGTTACTGTTATTTCGCCTCAAATAACAAATAATTTGAACCAAACTGAAATGGTTTCTTTTAAAAGATTTTCCCTATTTTTTGTTTGCTCACATTGAGTGAAGGTTATTTATAAGGACACTGGACAATCTGCTCGCTAAGTGTGTAAAACTGTTGTATGTTTATGGCATCTCCATCACCTTCCTCCCCAACAAAATAAATCACCTTTGTTAGATAAGCATGTTTAGCTATGAATGGACACTATTCGAAGGGCATAATTCTACAAGGAAGCGAAAACTAAATGTCAGATAATCCGCTTTAAAGTCCCATTGCACTGATCCATCTTAAGCTGGCATCTGAGGATTTCCCCAGCAAAGGGGAATCCTTGGCTGGAGTAAAGCCAGTCTATTGAGCTTTATGTCACCTGTTTCTCACCAATTTTTGGGTAAGAGTGGTTTAAGGCTGGTGGGGGCACACTGGGTGGGGTGGAACAAGGACAATATACTCTGGCAATCATGGTCTAGTGAAATGGTCCTTAGAAGACCTTTCCAGCAGCCATGATTTACAGCAGTTTCATGGCTGCTCTAAATTGTGTTTGTGGCCAGCTTTGTCCTTTGGCTATCCTCAGGACTGGGGGCTTAGAAAAGGTGATTTAGAACTACCCGTGTCTTCCTTCCTCATTGTGCTGTTTATGAGCTCAACAAAGCCCAGGATGCAATCCTAAATTTAAGAAGGGCAATTTAAAGTATATGCAACTAACAGTCATCATGCTTGACTAGGGAGGCAAGTAACTATCACAACAGGTTCTAGTTTATGGTCACTAGTTGTTCATGTCACCCCTTTCTCGTGTTACCAATTAATTTTGATGCAGTTCACCAGTTCTCATTTGCATTCCCTCTGATCTTTCCCCTTTGTCTTTAGAATACCTCCATCTTTCCTAAATGGATGTCTGAAATTGTGCAATATCGATTTAATTTTTCTTCATCAGCATTCACTTCACTCCACATTACTGCAGTACTCCTGTGGTTGTTTTCTTCTCTACCCATAATATTTTCAATACGCATGTTAGACCTTTTTAGCTACTTTTCATCCTCTGCCTTAGGGGTCCAGCATCCGTCACACATATACAAAGATGCAAATTCCATGCTGGTTAACCTTTGAACGCTGTCTTTTCCTCAAATTTAGTTTCAGATGTACTCAACATGCCAAAGCTAGACTATTCAAGATTTCTTGGCATACTATTTCTTGTAGCACATGGAAATGGATTAAAAGTAATAGATGCACAGCAGGAGAGTGGACAATTTACATGCGTGAGGGGGCTGAGATGCTCTTTGAAACATATCTGGGTGATTAGCAGACTGGATTGCCAAGCATATGGCTTGAAAGAGGGAAGATCAGATTGGAGGAATTTATTCGAGATGCCACTCAGAATTGTAGAGAATCTGGTTACTGGAAAGGGGCCAGTGTTGGACAGCTTTTATTTTTATCATTTGTTTACAGCTATATTGCTTGTAGATATATTATGGTAGGTATCTTGTAGCAGCTATTACAGATAATTAAGATTGCAAATGGTTTACATTATAACAGCTCTGTTTTCATATGCCTATAACTTTCTGCAACTATTCACCTTTTGGGCTGAAGTTTTCTATGCTTATGCCTGATGATGATTTGTTTTTTTAAAAAAAGTTTGAATAAAATTAATTGACAGTTCTGAGTTATAGGACAGTGAAGCACATTTTTGCCAATGGCATTAATCACCCTCCCCTCCCCTAAAAAACCCACCCTAACTATACTTTTCTGATCAAGGTTAATGCAAAAATTGGAAAAAGTTTAACATTTGGCATACATAGTTCTGAGTTTTGTGCATTTGCTTAGCTTTTAAAATATGTTTAAAATACAAAAAGATGATTGAAATAAAGAATCACTACTGAGCAGGTCAGTGACCATCTGCTAAGATTTTTAGCACATTTTCATTAACTATTCCTGTATGTGACAGCATGGGACATTCTCTCTGCTGGAACTCATTAGAGAGTTCACGTAGAAGCAGGGGCTGCTGTTCTCAGTCTGCTGCTAACACTATTAGTATGAATTAGTATAGATTGTAAATGCATCATTGATACACACAACAAAAACTACGAAGTATGTTCTCTCCACAAGTTTTACTGCACTCTACAATTTTCTGCAGATTGTAATCTTTTGCTTTACAAAGACTCTAAGAATACCAGACTGGGAGTCTAGTCCCAGTTCTGCCATTGGCTCACTATGTGAAGCTAGGCAAATTGCCTCCTCTCTGTGTGCTTCCTCTGCCAAAAGGGGATAATGATGTTTTATCTGCCTTTGTAAAGCACTTTGGGATCTATGGCTGAATACTATATACATATTAAGTATTATTCTACTGCACTATAACAAAGATACGGCCAGTATAAAATAAACAGTTGCAGTGTGACTGTTCTCTTCGGTTTCTGCAAGAAGGAGTTATCTTCAGCTAAACGATAGGCCTGATTCTACTTAACTCAGCATGCCTCCTTCA